GCAGCATTGATAGTTCCGGGCCAAACTCTTCTGAACAGACCGAGTGCCACGTGGCACCTATTGTAAAAATTTTCAAAGTCAAAACACGGCGTTTTTTAATCAGATGCTATCATCTGATTATCCGTTGCCCTGATCAATGCTACTCAAGGATTTCCACAATCAATTATTTGTGCATATTACCACGTTCCTTTATTGGTGCGTTCCTGAGGTCAGTTGGTATTCACATGTGACCAGCTGGTATAAGTGTGTGTTGGCTCTGCGTGCGAGTATACGTGACTGTGTGTGTAGTGTGACTGGGCTGTGCACCCGTGCCGTTGTCGAAAGCCCTGCTGAACTCTGATAGCTATACCTTCCCTGATGTACGCTATTTCCTGTCCAAATAGACATCGCAATTCGGTTGCGTTTTGCTATTTCGTGTTTCAGCGCACGTCCGTTCCATGTGTAGCTTTGATCCTGATTGGAGTATACATGTGTCATAGAATGTGATCTTGACCCAAGTTCGTGTAGGACAGAGGCTGAGTCGCGCTCAAGTGTTTCTTGACCTTCATTGGATTCTGTGAATTAAATCTTACGTGTCACGTTCCACGATTTACAAGCGGAGACTGATTGGCCCATGTTTTTGACAGGACATTCTGCACGGGGAATACGGTGACCGCAGATTGAGCGGAAGTCTTTAGCCCATACAAAGTAATATCGACACGAAGGAATGTCTTACTATCATAATCCTGAAGTATATTTCCAGTGGCGTTAATTCTATATGGTCCTTCCGGAAGTTCGATTAGGGATTTCAACAACGACGCATTGCAGCCGGCATGGCAACGAACGGAGGCATATCCCAGTCAAAGTACACACACACAGTCACGTGTACTTGCACTCGGAGCCAACATGAAAGCTGGTCCTCTCCGACTGCCAATCGATAACAGACATATTTGAAGCTCCAGTGTATTGTAGATTCGTATAAGAAAGTCTGTTATAAACTTCAAACTGTTTTATGTTTACTTATTAGTATATTTCACGTAAACGTAAAGAACCTGTTTCATGGAGAATTTTCATACCTGATGGACTTGAGGTGGCGTTGGTGACGAATCCGTTTTCACATGTATCACCTGTAACGAAACAATGTGTTCCACCATCAATTGAAATTGAAAGCGTGTCACGTCTGCAATTTTATACTGCAACTTTTGACGTGTGGTACCTTTTGGTGACGAACCGTGAGGACCTCATTAAAACTGTGGTCACGTATACTACCACCTGTATTCTTCAGAAATTACAGAACATTTTTCTCGAGTCCGGATGAATAGTAAGGAATAGTTTCATCAACACCAGCATCATCTCATCCATACTGTCTAGAATTGTGAATTTCCGCAATTTGCGCACCGCGGAAAAATCAACATTCCCGGTATAATCGCAAGAATGCAATCTACTAGGTGGGTGAGAAATTGACTAAGGCATCCAGCTTGTTTCGTCGTTTCAGCGACGCTTGAGTGCGTCCACACTCTTGACGTAATTAAAACAAAACAGCGTGAAGATGTCCGCATAAATTAGTCTCAGTCGGATCTAAAAATGACATTGTCCAACTCAGGAGTTGTTCGCTGAAATTCTCCGGAATTGTGCGGGTGAACTACGTCAGTGGTATCCCAGTTATTTCTCTCCACTGTTCACGGTACATTTGCCCCAACAACGCCCAGCCATATTTAAGTATTAACTCAACCTACTTAATGAAACATTAATTAAAGTTCTAGAAGCAAGTAACCTTGGAATGTAGCTCCCAAAAGGGCATTTTTGAGAAATTAGTCGGATCCATTTCTCCTCCAGCCGGATTTAATCAAAACTACTTGTATTACGTGAGTGCTGTTCACCCTGTTTCCTCTGTCTAACACTGACAAAAACGTTTGTACCTCTGCATCGGAGAGAAACCTCATTTCAACGGATTTTGTTTTACCTGTTGACTTCCAGTGAAGTCAGTGAGTGATGGATCATTTTTAGCACAGCGACAGATGCATCAGTCTAGGCGATTCTCACACCCACGTCCAACAGAGGTTTAAGATTGGTCGATTTTATACTAACAAAGCTTGGATGACATTTTTTAAATGAAATTTTTCCAATTATCGTCGAAAATTAGGACACTAGAACTGGATTTTTTGGCATGTTGAAACAAAATAATGTGGCAATGTCTGGTTTCGTTCTGATGTGACTGGAAATCTACAAATCGGCAAAATAAAACCGCTTGCCATCGAGATATTTTAATCAATTTTAAAGAGATGAAACTTAACTGACCGAGGCACAACTCTAAAAGACCCGATTGAAGTAAAACCGCAGTCTGAAAATCGAAGCCATTCATAAAAACTGGAACGATAAGGCCGACGGTGCCAACTAACAGAACGCTTCGCAGGAAAAAAAGTTGCTTTCGACCATTGGCCATATCGCTAAAATGTTCGGCACGTTAGCTACGTCAAGAAGGGTGAAACCGGTCTTGGGTTGTCGAGAAATCTTCAGCAACCTTATGTGTAGTGCATTACGTCCATACACCTATGAGGGTATCATGAATATCGTACCATACGGCGGCCTGGTTCGGTGCATTTAGTTGCTTTGAAACAGCATAAACAAGGAATTTAGCTGGGTTTCAGGTGAGTCTCCCGTAGAACCAAATTCGTTTGCCAGTCAGTGCATTTTGCTAATCGGTCAGTTACTTTGCCAACTAGGCCACTCGTCTCATTAGTATTGAGATTTGTATCGATCGGGTGAATCCGACTCAGACGCATTTGACAAGAAGCTCTGGATTAATAAATGCGTTGTGCATTACTTCATAAGGTCAGACACACGCAGGCATCTGTATCCTTGGGTAAAACTAACCTATTTCGCCTACTTGGAAAGCGTCCGGCCTATGGAGACACGTGACTTAGATAGTTACCGCAAGTCACATTGCCTTCCCCAACAAACCAACAAAATACTTACCCAAAAAGAAGGAAAAAACAACAACCGAGGCGACAAACTCACTTTTGGCACCTATATAAGGTTAATTCCTGAGACCTTGTGGATGTAGATACATTGTTGACCAATCGGGATATTTGTACGCTTGCATAGGACAACCCGAGTTCTTACCCAACCGCATTGTCCCACCTCACTCAACGTCTGATACAAATTCTGAAAGTGGGGCCACATTTGAGTGCTGGTCAGCAAGTTTTCGTTGATCGTCTACTAACTACTGCCTCTCGTTGCCTGTTCGTCGCATGCTTTCTAGAATGTTTCTTCTAATTCTTCACCAATATTCTTCATGTTGTGGAATTTCAAACGTGTAGTAATGTTTGACGTCCATATTCTTACAATCAGACAATGGCTTACTGCCATCAGAAAGCCGCAATCTCATAAAAATGCTTTATCTTGCAAACTTTGTCTACTCATCTAGTCATGTTGAAAATCCTAGTGAGTCTGTCAGCATAACTCATGAAGCAGTGGAATGCAGAATTCCAAACTTTACTCACTAGGTTTAATGAGACGCGTATATTACCAGAACGGAAATTAGGCCCAAACTATGGGACATTCTTATTTCCGGCATTCACGGCAGTAAAGAGGAACAAGAAGTTTTTTGAAATTTAATCAACAACTTCAAATAAATCTAGATGGAAAAAACAACTTGGACGAATAGAACGTGGGCTGTTCTTTTATTTCCTTGGGATTAGGTTCGGTACAGCCTCCGGCCCAACAATTTGTCTTGGCGAGCCACATCTAGGCTTTCGATTGAACAGAATAAAGTTGATAAGCTGAAGGAACTTTAAACACCTAATATTCGAACATCATCAAATTTGTGGCTGAAAGCAACTTAGAATAAACAGGGAGAACAAGTTCCCCTGCGTGAGCAGTATTACAGATCTTGCTGAACCTAGCAAGACTGTGAAAAAGTACAAAAAGGGCATTCATTAAAGTCAGGACCTATATCACAAAAACCAAGAAGTGTAATTTTGTCTTCCTTTTTAAACCTTGTCTACCTTGTATGAACGTATTACACTGTTGATAGTGTTGCTGAAAACCTTTAGAGATCCAACCAGCGGTTTCACCCATCTCATTTGGACTCATCAAGTGGGTGCAGTCTCCGTCTACCTTATGTTCTGATTGAACCCAAAAGTTGATTGTGACGCGAGGCCCACCTTAAAATCAGCTGAAACTCCCACACAAGATGTTTTGTTTTGAGCTGCAGAACAGATTTCAGCAAACTTAAGAGTAGTGTAACATGTCTGTATAATTTATTGCAATACGTCGAATATCGTGCCAACTAAAATGTAAGGCAGCACATTTATCTGAGGAAGCCTAAAAGTTCTGAATGTCTCACCAATCATGATTTTTGTCTTCCTAACTTTAATGCTTTGTATAAACTAACGATTGTATTCCGCTTGTCAACTTTTTGTTACGGCAGCAAAACGCTTTGTGGGACAGATCACAAAAGTACCCTCGATCCAGGTGCTGTGGCGCGTTTACCCGAAAACCAAGGTGTTGGAAAGTACATCAGACAAAATCCCACCGAAGCTTTTGTTTAAAGTGTTCTTCAACCGAATGTGTTTCGTAAAGTCGGTCTTGTGTTTCGATTGGCACGATATTTGAGCTACCGTAGTGTAGATTCGTGAAGTAGAACGCCACTTGTGATTTTGCGGAGAGACTTTTAGTGATCTAGTTTGATCATGAGCGTTTGTATAAATCCGGAAACTACACCAATATAGTGAGTGTAAACAAAAGTGAAATCGGCTGTGAGCTGCGAAGGTGTGTTCGGCTAACGACTGTACTTTTTGTCGCGTTTGCACTCAGCTCGCATTTCCGTCGCGTACACCTAAACTATAAACTGTTTCTTTTCTCCATATGGTGCTCATAATTCTCACGTTTTAGACATTGTAATTCAATAAAATTCGTGTCAGGTATGCAGGTGTGTACAGGGCTTTCTCAGGATGAGCACTGGAATATGGGCCAACATTTTTGCGGTTCATTAGTTCTACAAAAAGTAGACATTTCTCGCCGAATGAAAAATGTACAGCATTTTTACCGATTTACGGAATAACACAATCCCGTGTTCATTTCTTTCCCAAAAAGTACAACACACACGCAGGAGGGCGCTCACAAGTGCTGCACACTGTGAGCAGTAATCGCAAAGGAATAACATTCATAATTGATTAAATAGAATACCACAAATTTGTAAAAGTAATTTCGGTAATACTACTTATATATTCGTCAGTACCCAAGTTACTAAGATAGTCAAATTGTTAGGCAGCTAACCTACTCACTAGAAGGTCCAGGGTTCGACCCCCACCGTAGCACCTGAAAAACGTATGTATTCTCAAACGTCTTGTTGGTATGATCGATGCGCACCGCCAGGTCGGTACAACTGAACAATTAGTTTTTATGTTGTTCTTTTCACTATCAATGCAATTCAGATTAGCTTGGTCTGAATTTCACGCATAAACGTCAGCATTTGTGAGTCCCTACCTCTGTTTTTTTATGCAGATGCCTAGCTTCAACAAGAAGACAGCCAGCTTTACTTGTCACACTTTGGTAGGTTTGACAGCCTCAGGCCCAACTTTATGCGTACTAAAGTTGATCTGCGTTTTGACTTACACGTGACCAGCACTGCAATTACTATAATCAATCGATCATCAGGTGAGTACTAACAACCACATTCCTATTTTTCAACAGGCGGACTTTTTTATTCCTTTGATGTGGTATCGTTCAGGATTCAGTAGGTGTCCTGCCATCAGATAGATTCAGTTTGATCTAGGTCAGATAGTGTTGGTCATTATGGATTAGGGTTTATGTCCTGAAAATCGATCTGGAATTTTTCGATTGTCGTGAGCCTGCTGATAAATTGTGGCAAATGAATCAAACTAGAGGGTATGATTTTGTACCACCTTCCCTAACGACATGCCGTTACGCTAAATGTGATTAGGTGGCAGCTTTAATATGTTGAGTACTGTTCAGTAGTAGTTCATACAATGGAATGATTAAATATGATTCTCCTGTTTTGCTTTCCTTCTGAAAGGACCATTTCGACTCTTTCTTCCCTGCTCCGACCACAAACGCATTTATTTCAAATCTAAAGGCGTCCGAATCTGAGGGACGTTCAAAGTGTGCGTGATAACACAATGTGGCATTCAATATTATATCTGCCTTACATGTGCCAGTGTGGCTCAAACATACATTCCGCGTGTCAGGGTTATGTTCCCACATGGCGTTGCAAAAGTGGCCTTCTCACCATCTCCCTGAAAAGTGACAGTCACTAGGTTCTGGTGGATTGAATTTACCAAAATCAGTTTCACACAAGCGTGTTTATGACAAAACCCGTGAATATGTATCCTCATTGAATCAGAGCAAGCCATCACTGCAGTACTTGCGTGTTCATTAGCGCTGCAAGAAGTAAAAACAATCAGGGTGAAATAATTCTGCTCCTAGCAGTGAAACTTGAACGTTTTATACATGTTGCGACCGACCGTGTCCGCTTGTGAGTGAGATTAATTTTGGGCGAGTATGTTGGACGGCAAATTAGGATGCTACAATTCAAGAATGACTTTTTTTGAGAAAAAAGGCAATGAGTACGTTGAGGAGAAACATAGAAAAACTGGCAGAATCTCTTGAGGTGGTTTAGCCGCGTGTGGCATAATACACGAAAGTCGAAAACTAATTCGTAGGTTAGCTACATTTTGTTGCCAGGTCAATGATGGTGGGAGACAATAGCAAGATGAACGCATAGAGTTCATTCTGCAATTGATCTGATTTAAATATATGACAAAACTTTGTCAAGTATTCGATTGAAATAAGCACTGTGTATGTGGCTCAAAATTGTTGACTGTTTAGTCACCGGCTGTGGGTTCAAGACGCTCCGAGTCTCGTGGAACGCGCACTGCCCATGAATTCCAATAAGGACAAAGAGCAGCTTTTCGGATTTTACCCCCTACTGACAAGATGAAATCTGTATTGAAAATTGCTTTTGATGACATCTGCAGTCTGAGTTCGTGAAATCCGCAATGCTGTCGATGATGATGGAATGTGAGGGAGAAATGTGCATACTCGTTTAATAATTAAGTTGAAATTCGTGACAGTGGAACCTATCATTGAGTTGCAAGTGACAGGTTGACAACTAAACACGGAACTAGAGAATACGAAGATCTTCGACCCGGTTAGTTGGTTGCTTAAATGGTAAAACCACTATTGAAATAAAAGGACAGGTTATACGTCAGTGGATGGCTTGAATTACCTGGTCAAAAATTGTGTCCATTTGAATCTTTCGTGAATCTTTCTTCAGTCTTCTTACTACTGCGGATAATGAGTTGAACTGTGTTTAGAAGGATCCTTATGGACTTTGATTCTTGTGGCTCGAAAACGGATGTGTATGATTATCGTACTTTAGGTGTGCTGACGGGAGAGTGCCTCACCATACAGTGACGTTGGCCTTGAACTAGTTCACTCCGATGTTTGCTGAGATGGTTGCCCTTTATTTTGGCGACGTGTATACTGCCTGATCACTTTTAAAATCTGCTTTACCAACAACTCAAGTATGAAGTGGTAGCATCTACACACAGTTCAACTCATCAGCTATAAGCTATGTGCTATATTGATATTAACTTCAGCTGCTACACGTTGGATCGACAGAAAGTAGAATGGCGTGGAAGATACAGCCAAGCATTGATGACGTTAGTGTCTTAATTAGTTTGTGAAACGCATAAGTGCGCAATAAATTCGGCAGCTTTGAGGCGTGAGGTCAATTGACTTCGTGGCTAGGCAATTTCTGCCAGTCTGATTAGTTTAGTCTGGAAGCTCCCAGTTAGAAAGGGGACGGTTGTCAACGCTATCTGGATTATTGGTTAGTGTTTTCGTAATTATTTTCCAAGTCGTACACTGTCTACCCCTCAGTCACTTTCAGCCAACACGAAGCTTGGCGAGGAAGATGGTCTCTTAGCATGCTGAGTACAGATCGTCATCGAGGTGGCGTAAGGTGTCTGAGTGATACGTCAGTCGTGGGAGAGTCCCTTATTTATGAAACTATCTGGTATCCGATGTTCGCACCACAGACGCAGTCAGTGCTCCGGATACATCAATGGTCAACCACTGACAGCTCTCATACGTCCTCTGCGTTGAGAGGCCACACGACTGATACATAGATCAGCAGGAATCACACTCTCGCTGTGAGGTCACCTCAAAGCGGTAAGTATCTAGGAAAGCTGTCCTGGCCTCCTTCCCGATTTGAGAGTATTCTCACTTCAGCCAGTCTCTACCGGAACTTGTAGAACTGCCCAGGGAAACAAATTTTTCTCTCACGGTGATCGACTCGTCCGTAAGCGAAACTGCTGTGGATTTGCTTAATAAAACAACACGTATCTGCGTGCTCATAAAAAATCCACGAAAATTAAACTCTCGACATTTAAAAACCTACGCTCCGTAGCCTTTATCTGGTCTGCTAGTGTACGCGCCGACGGAATCTCAAGTAGTACGCAAAAATGACAGGTTAACGATAGCAGACCACGTTGATCTAGATAAGATGTCTGAGTGTTTACCAACAAATTCATAATATTGAGCCGGAGAATGATGAAACCGTGCTCATGTTTGGTAACAACACTGTGTTGCCAGGAGGACCGCGGTGGAGTTACACTTCAAATAGAACGAAATCAATACACCTGGAGATCGTATGCAAATCCATGGAAAAATTCACCAACAACTGTATGGAACTGCGCTGGGATCAATGATATACGAATTCACCTCAAGGGCAGCAGCTTGACCACGTTACAGGATCAGAAATCAATCGTAAACTTAGAATGTACTCAGAAAATTAAGCGGTTGTCATTCAGAAACCGCTCATTGTACGTCACTTTAATGAATCTGTCAGTCTTAGGTTTGAAGAAATTGCATCTCACAAGAAAACGAACAGTCATTCTTCGACAAAGCGATAAGCAAAACACCGGTTGGTTGTCCTCAAGGTCGTACTTATCAAGAGAACACGTGGGGATCAAACAACAGTGCATTGCAACAGCCATCCAACGTAGCGCAAGAAAGAATGTCTGCAGACAGCAATGAAGAGAACACAGAAATGCAGCGCTGAAAACATTTACTCTAATGAGACAGCTGGCATACGCAAAATCTGAACAATAACATGAAGAAACTGACAGTTTTAATGAACAGGACGCTACCGCATTGGTAAAACGTTTTCTGGAAGCCGAACGATCATGCGTTATATTGCAGAGAACGAATAGGAAACCCTAAAGAACAACGGCATAACTGAATGGATTGTCACAAATACTATAACAAATACCTAGACACGGATCATCTACTCGTCCAAAAGACCACATATCAGTGAACAGATTACACTATCGACCCATTGCGGTCCAATACGTGAGGTATATAAATTCAGCCAAAAAAACAGCGTAATAAAGAAGATACACACAAAAAGCCAGGGGTACCTGTAAGCATACTACTATGCTACAGATCTATTAGTCGATCAAGGTCGTGTAATACTGGAATGAAAGGGTTGCCGACAGAAGCAGCCGTGAAAAGATCACTTTAGTTGACAGGGAACGTGACCTTAAAACTGTAAAGTGATTTTAAAACTGTAAAGACAATGAACAAGATTGGTCAAACCTTAAGGCCATTCTGAGACGGAACAACCAAGGAATCAGCCAGCCGTCCACTTAACAGGACTGATGACTGGGAGGTCGGCTCCCGGCCAGTAACGGCTCCTATGTCCACACGTCATCATGTAACAATTCAGTGGTAGTTTGCAAACTACTTCCAAAGTTGCTGAAAACTCTTCAGTTTAAGAAAATCATAAACGGCAGATTCACGTGAAAACCAAATTCACGGGTAAAACCAAATTGATTTGCAAATGAGTGTATTTGTTGGAATCAGTCCAAGTTGGGTTCAAGTAGGACATAAGTTTGACGGAAACTCGGGGACATCGCCTACCTGATGACCCGCAAGAGGAGCTGAACTGGTCGTTGGCTGTCGAAGGGCTTTCAGTGACCTTGTGAGTAGTATCGTTCATGAAAACAACACTACAACAACATTACAAATATACATGTATCGCGATATTTCAAATATCGTAGCTACTGAAACATGAGGCGGCCTGGTGCAGCACATTCAGTTGCCTGAGAACATCATAAACGAGAGATTAAGCTGGGTTCCAGGTGAGTCTCTCGAAAGAACCAAATTAGTTTGCAGATGAGTGTATATTCGCTAACATTCAAGCTGCTTTCTTGACGTAACGCGACGTAGAAGGCTGGCGGAAATTCTTCGGCAGATTACCACGGGTTTTGTGAGTCATCGCGGCTGCCGACGATGTGCAGAAACATTCATCACAGAAGGACGAACATGGGTTATGCTGCATTGTGAAGAAGATCGTCAGCTCTGAATAATGGCTTAGTATTTATTCCACATTCTCCCCCCACATCCAGCCACCGAAAACTGAGGCGCGTTCCCCTTAGCAGGAGAAAATAGCCATCTGTCAAAGGCTGATATTCAAGAGCGAGCAGATTCATCACTATAAGGTGAGGGCAGCGCGCTGCTAAATTAGAATTACACGAAAAATTATCAGTGAAAGGCAAGAGCTTCCCAAGTTTTGTCGTGAAACACAAAAGATATAGTGTATTTTAAAGAAACGGTCCCTCAGGGATTTGTTGGTCAAAGCGTGGACGGAGTATTAGCACACTGCTGATGATGGCCATAATACAAATCACAAGGTATATGCACTAATAAAAGTTTTTAGCATGGTTGACAGTGATGGGTTGGAACACGTGTAAAAATAAATACAATGCGAAATGGGAGCGAGTCAAAAGAGGAACTTATCGTCTAAGAGAGTTCCTGGGTGAAAGTCCGGGTGGCGGGAACGTGTTTTCTCCGCAGTATGACTGCTTTACGTGTTCCATAATTGTCAGTGGACTTGTGGAGAGGGGTTGACTTCCTGCTCCCTGCGCGCACACGAGCCTGTGTGTGCTGACAGTGTTTGGTTTCCCTGTATGTCGTTCATCTGGCGTGTACGTGGTTGTCAGCACACGAGTTGTTGCTACGCTGATTAGACGGTACAGACAATCGATGTCCGATGAGTCAACTTAATGTGACGTGGTTTGTGAGTATGAAAAAAGACAAGCCTCGTGATCCAGTGAGCGACTGTGATCTGAACAGTCAAGTATGTGGGTGAATGGTCAGCTGCAGGAGTACCATTGAGTGATAACACATTAACTAAGAAAGTAGGGCTAAAACATTAAGCTATGATTGTCGGTGGCACGTTCATGTATCAGAGTTTTCCAAACAATCTATGTGAAATGAGTATCTGGTTTTTTTATTCGCGGATTAATTCCACAAATTAGCCCAAAGGATGGGCACAACTCCGTGGGTAAGTTCATGTTTCGAACCAAAAACCGGCAATTCTACTGCTCCTGTCTAGTCTTGGGAAACCCGGCATGATATCTTCCCCAACAAGACACCAAAAAGATTTTACGGCCGAATGATTATTTTCTTTATTTTTTCGTAGCTAATTCATTAACCAAAGAACTATTCTAGTCTGGCCACGTTTTTTTTTAAATTTCATCCGCAGTAACAGTCAGATTCTCGGGAACTTGTTCTAGGTGAAAATCGTTTTGGGTGAAACCGATGGTTTGCACAGAAACGATGGGTCACATTACTCTCATTTGAACGGTCATCCATGTGTTCTGGCGTAATTATTCCGGTGATTCCACACCAAGAGAGGCTCTGGAATCGAGTTTTGCTCTTATTAGCGTTTATCGGCAGTGCATATTCAATGGCCGTGACGGGATTTGAACCCCGGAAATCTGACGTGCGAAGCGAGCATGTAACCGCTATTCCACCAACGCACGCTGNATATCCAATGGCCGTGCCGGGATTTGAACCCCGGAAATCCGACGTGCGAAGCGAGCATTTAACCACTACTCCACCAACGCACGCTGCACGCATCTGAATTATCGTGGCTGAACAGGCGAACGTGTTCACACTTGAGCGATGTGATTGGTCTGCCCGACCAGTCGAACGACGACCCACTAACTGTCCTGGTTGTGACGATCGATTGATCCACCAGCCAGAACTTTCCGGTCAGGTAGCGTGACACCACGCTTGAACCCAAAGGGTCGAAGCACAGCTTGTACGCTTGGGCACCATTTCCTTTCAAGAAAACCAGGATAACTGAGCTACTGCTTGGTTGTCCACGCTTTAGACAGGGGTAGTCAAGATGTTGAAATTGTGGTCGGACCGTCTGTTAGTACGGTCTCAACTACCGAGCTATCTAGAATTCTCACTGTTGGGCTAAAAAAGATTCGTTGCCGATCAATCGAACTTGTACTTGGAAGGCGAAATTTTCGTTGGCGCGTGCGGAAATTGACTAGTCGACCGGTAGCATGAAAACGCGAAACAATTCCAACGGAAGTATAGAACAACCTAGACAACTACCTCGATCCGCCGTCCGTGTATTGTAGATGATCAACTTTGTCGTGTTAAACGCGATTCTACGCTTTAATTATGCGGAGAACCACTTCGGTTCTAAGCTACTATGGATGAAAAGTTAGTCAATGATGATGGATGATTTGAAAAACCAAGCCAGCTCTGGGCCACAACAGCGATTCTTGGATAGGTTGGGTGTCAATTTGTCCAGCCGGAAACAAGAAGTTTAGTTTGAATGAAATCGAATCGAATGTGTAGCTTGATGCAGTTGATTCCGGTAATTAGGCAATGATAGTTTTACTGTTTGATAAAATATTCCTAGGCTTTGCCCTAAGCTTTGCTTTTACAGGACCTTGATTAGTTTTTTTGTAGTCTGGAATTAATTTCCGTCGACAAGGTAGATTTCAACTTCCGTGGTAGCTTTAACAAGATCGTAAAACTCAGGCTCGAATTTGCCAAAGATTGGTGGCAACATAGCAAAACTTTTGAGCAGATATCTTCTATATAGAAAAATACTTGTGTTCTTTTTCTTGAGTACACATTTTAAGTCGCCAACCTCATAGAATAACATATACAACATATCCGTTGTTGAGACCCCTTGATCATATGTTCACTTCAGAAACACAACTTGGCCGGCGCCAAATGAAGAATTTTGACGCCAATTGAAATCGGTTAGATAAAAAAATGTTGGAACTAACTGAGTGGAAATGAATTGGACAATGGCTTAAACGCACAGTGTACACTGATGCGACAGTGTAGTAAAACTGTCAAGTGAAACATCCATACGGAAACAATGAGGAGGTGATCCAGCTCGAGTACTCTTCTGACAGGGCTATAAAAACGGGAAAATGTATGTATATATTACTAAACTTCACGGCTCCAGCTAAATCGCGTTCCAGCTTGTCAGAATTATAGGAACCGTGTGTTAATTTTCTAAGTTCTGTGACAGAGAAGTTGCCAGTAGTATATGTCGTTTTATCGCACGAATGGATCTCCGACTGTTTGCAGCTGATGCGGCTGGTATTAGCACACATTTGTCTACATATTATGTTTGACTCATGTGTAATCTGATGAAACCACCAAATGTTCGGTAAATTTCATGTATGCCTACAGTAGCCATGAGGCGTTCTTTGGGGCCAAAATGAATAACGTCTCCCAGCAAAGACTATCCACAGAGTATGGTCGACGCATCTTACTTTTATGGCGGTCTGTATTTGTTCGTTTGTCGACCGTTATAGGAAATTTTATTTGACACTACCACGAGAACCAGTTCCCAGAGTAACGGGGCTACACAACAGCCAATGACCGTTTTCGTTGAGACAGATTTCATTGGTTGTTCTTCACTCGCCCTGGACAGATGAATCATCTTCTTAGTATCACCTTTTTGACCTGCTTGTACGCGACAGTGATCAACAGATCAGCCGGTTCACATGTTTATTTATTTTTCTGTTGTTTGGCTAAACGCACCAGGCTATGAATCGACTACCCTGGCCGGGATTTACGGTAATAAGAATGCATTAAGGAGACTGTGATCCACGACAATTTGGCGACGGGGATGGTAGTTGAACCCACGCGAGGAAACCACAATAGAATGAAATGAACAAGCGTCCGTGCGACTCCATTTGGCCTCCACGGACACCACCACACTGGTACAACTATTAATATTTGATTGGTAATCCAGTACCCAAAAGACACGAACGGGATGTCGCAAACTCGGTCCGAACTAGTGCGCTCCGTCCTCGTTGTTCTCTTTCGATTGCAAGCATTTTGACATCCAGGCTACCTAGAGATGCGTCAGACTTACGCGTTTAAACAAACAATCGATTTAATAACGATAAAAAACAATTTTTCGCCCGCAACACCGTATAGATGCATGATTAGCATGCCCCAAACAGAGCATTAGAGGTGAAATACTGCCCGATTGTCGAAGCTTAGACGGGAGCAGCTGAGATGCACATGTTAAATCAGAAGCATGGATATTTTTGTAAATAATTCCATGGCTTAATCACTGGGCTACCTGAAGCTGAACTCACCGAGAGACGAAATCGACCTAAGATGGAGTAGCGTCGTCATAAAATATATTAGTTCAAGCTTATTTGTTCAGCTCATATCAATCTCCCTAGGCCCGTTTTTTGAGGGGATGGAATTTAATATCCGAGTCCCTGATGAAACCGTGCTCATTATAAAACTTTTTTGCAAAAGCGTTTGTTTTGGATTATGCAAAAGCGTTGGTTTGGATTACGAAGTGCGCTTGAATTAGCCCACCTCCCAAGATAGGTGGACTTTTCAGAAGTTGTCTCTCCTCTCTTGAAATTTCACAACTGTGCTTGGAGGCGCAGAACTATCGACCCTTGTTATTAATTGGTGTTCCTAAGGACTCAACTGATAGTAAATTTATTCGAAATCTGATGAATGAATACATGGACTCGCCCCTTGCTTTCGGTGGATTTAGCACTAAATCGTGCCATCCTCTGGCAGTGTTGGAACGTCTACTAAAGGTGTCACCCATTGAATGGAATCTTTACCCAGGGTAAACTTTTTCAACCACGCAGTTTGATCAACCGTTTACAATACTACGACAGATGTTGCGCATTGTACTTCAATAAGTTAAGCGTTTATCGGAACTAGTGTTCGTGTTTATATTTGCCTTTATTCGCAATAACCCTGCGG